TGTAATTACAGTTTCCAAAATGATTGTTTTGGTTAATCAGAAACAGAATTTTAAAAAACCCAAGCATGAAAAAGGATTTAGTCGCATGCATTTAGTGGGCAGTTGAGTTTGGCTTATGAGGCAGTTTTTGCCGTTCGTCCCTCTCCCCATTTTATACTTCATAAAATCCCACATCCACGACATTTACTACCTCTTCATAACATGTAGAAAAACAGCAATTTATCCCTGTCATTTCCAGTGGAGTTTTCTCCCAGAGGCCAAGGGAAGCCAGGCTTCCCCTGTTTTTATCAACTCTATTTATCATTTCAATAAAAACACAATGTTTTTAGTTTTGATAAATCTTATAAGCCGTTGCTGTCATCTCTTCCCCATTTCTCACTTCTCGCTATCTTACAATAAGTGAAACAGCGCCCCTCTAAATGCTATGCGTTGGATGTGTGGTGAAACACTATACTGCACCACCATAGACTGATCTGCAGTCTGGCTGCACAGGGAGGCCAGGCAGAGTTGGCATCCGTTTGTGAAAAAAATTAAATGATTAACCAATCAGATGAGGCCACTGCCTAACTGTGATTAGCCAGGATGATGCCAGGGAAAGCCAGCCGCTGTCTGGCTTCACGCCAATCAAATCACAGCATGCAATGTGTAATGTATTAAAGATTTTGCTTTCAACAATCTTAAAGTTTGATAAAGATGCATAGTATATAGTGGCCAGTCAGATCAGCTTTGAAACAAAGGGGTCAAGACAAACAATATGAACAAAATTATATTTACAGTAAACTATCTTAGCAATAAACCCAAAACAAAAGTACCAACAAAAAAACACTTAAAGAAATAAACAAAATCTCCCAACTAAAAATCCCATTCCCTGATGGACATGAGGAGCACTTGGTACAGTGGACACTTGCTGTTTTAACAGCAGTGTTTCAGAATCCGCATCTTTGTTTTTTCTGTCTCATCAAACAAGCCCAAATTTACCAGATGCTTCACCAAACACTAATAAACAACAAATTCATCCACAAATGTTGAGTCAAATTTCTTTTTCTCTTTTCCACAGTACAAACACACAGTGTGTGTGTTCTGTATGCAGTCAGTGATGTTATGTTGCTCTCTCCTGGCCTCCTACCTCTGTGTCTCTCAAACTCATTTTGCGACACATCTACTCCTGAAGCCTCTCCTGACACTGTGGCCAAACCCACAACACAGCCAGTGTGAATGACCCTTATCATCAAAACAGCAGAACCTGTCCACATCTGTGTGGTACAATGTAAGTCTCTTTTAGTGTAGAGCACTAGAGTGCAATCCAGCATGTAAGTGCGTAAACAGTGAACAGCAGCCACAACCTCTCTGACAGGAGAGAGGAAAAACAGGCAGCTTCTTATGTGCTGCTAGAAAAGCTTCTGTAAAGCCTCTGAAAGCTCACTTTGACCGGTCTTAATTATTGTTTCTATAGTTCTTTGTTGTTGTTTGCTTCTTTGTTCTTTCTGCTCTGACTACAGGAGTTTTACAGTTGAGGCTTTGGCCAGAAGTCGTGATCTGCACAGAATATTTGGAAATCATGACCCAAGAGTGATCACAAAGTCTTCTAAGCCCCACTTATAATGTCAGACTAGACTGATGTTTCTGAAAATGTAAACAATTGGTTGTTAAAAAAAATGAAGTCAACTTAAATCTAAACTTAAGACAATTGGTTGTGTATTTAGAAACTGCTGACTGACTGTTTCTTTCTCTGAGATAAATATATAATCACTTACACTTACGCATAATAAAAACATTTAAAGTAAAACCATTTCTCCAGACCAAATCAGTTAAGAATCTAATATTTTGTGAAATCAAACAGCTTTGTCACAAGGATTCCTGCATTCACCTGAAGAAGCCATTACCCTGTCAGAGTGATACACTGACTGACTGTTCAATGCACACTGAGAGAACCAGCATACAGAACTCCACCGGCCTCCTCCTCCCTCTACATCAGAGATGTTAGGAAGCAACACACCAAGGCCACACTGTCAAAGCTGCTGACACACTTATAACCAAGAATTATAACATACTGAGGAAATATTACAGTCTGATGTAGAAAATAACTTCATGACAGCTACATCTGTCTTGTTACAACAACCTGCTCCAACATACAGTCTAATCCGCTCCATAGCATTTACCAGCAGACAAACAGAAACATCAACATCAGTCACAGCAAATCATATAGGATAGATATGTTGGTTGGCTAAATCCCAGTGGAGTGGATCATTGTGTGGAACAGCCCTGGCACAGGTTCCTGCAGGGAGGGAGGCACATTTGGCGGCTGCTTTTGTAAGTGCCAATCTATTATATCTTTTGCTGCATTTATACATAAATTTGTTTAACTGCAGGGTTGAACAAATAACTACATTTTTATTTTTTATCATATTTTTTTATATCTGAAAGTGAGGGGGCTTGTTTATTTTCTGTTTTAAACAATCTCCAAATCACATAATGAACACGGACAACTACAGTATCTCTTGGTAAACATTTATGTTGGGACCAGGACAGAATGAAAGCACAAAATATGGGCCAGACCCAGCCCTGCAGGATGGGGTCGCTGGTCGCTGGTTTTGGACAGTTAATTTGAGTAATTCAAGAGCTTCCAGAGCAGCAAAATTATTTCAGCCCATCTGGTTTCCCAGGACCTTATTGTTCATACCCTTAAATCCGTTACTACCTTTATTCACCTTTGAAACTCCCGGCGAATCATCAGAACCAAGCCGAGAGAAGACTGCCAGATTTCCTAAATGGACTAACGCATTTAATCGCTACAAAGAGCAATAAAGTAAGGGGCTTTGTATGTCAGGGCAGAAGATAGGTTCTGTGTTATTTTAACTTGTACAGGCTTCATTGTGGAGAATATTCTGTGGAAGATTCTGAAGGATATTTACAGACCACTGTGTTTTGTTGTATTGCTGTGCGTTTTTCCATGTCTCACACATTGATTTTGTCCAGTACTATACTGTAGGGCCACAGTATTATATTATTGTAGTAACAATTGGTTACCACAGTCAGTGCATGAATTCACCCTTCACTATCACTAAGAAATAGCATAGCCTCACTATTGCCATTTATAGGTGGAGAAACATTTTAGACTGATTTCATATTTAGTTATTGGTCCCTGATTCCAAGGTGGTGCCCTGTATTATATTAATGATAATTCATCATTTTTAATATTAATGGTTTTATTATGTCTTGAATATCTTTGATATTCAGTTAATAACCCAACCTGACCCCATGTTGAATCCCAGCATTTATATAAATATATTGTATATGAAACCCTGCATTTGTTATAGAGAACAAGGGATTTGAAAATAAAAGTTTTTCTCATTTAATTCATCTACTCAGTCTAGTTAAGCCTCTCTGCCAAACAACAACAGAGATGATGAATAAGCAAACAGACCTGTTAGAGCAAGACAGTATGCAGTTAAACAGTTTGCTGCTGTGGTGATAATGATAATGATACAGTGACTATCAGTAATTCACAGTAAGAACAAATGGCCAAGTGACAAGTTGCTGTCACATTAAAAAGCACAACATGATTTCACTTTTTAGTCCTGTTTTTAATGTTTATAATCATTTTAATTTTAATTATCCATAAGTTTTTTCTCTGGAAAATTCCAACACATGAGAGCTTGTGATAATGGTATATTGTTAAAGTTAATGTATTTGTGTCTCCATCACAATGCTTATCTGAATGGTAGACTAAGATGAGGGAAAAAAAGCTGTTTTTATTATAAACACGTCAGCAGCAACACAAAGGCACAAAGTCACAGAAGATGAGAGTGCTGATTCTCAGAGGAGGTCAAGCCTTGTTTTATTTTAGAGTCAAAACCGCAAAGGCCATTAGTAAGGCGGATGGGTGTAAATGATTTCTGTCTTGACATCCTCACTGCATGTTTTCATACATTATTCATGTCACTACCACACGGTATCAGATCTGTAGTGAAACTGTTTATCTCAGGCAGTGCAGCAAACAATGAAATCATCACAGACCTGATCTTAACCTCTTGGCCTTTATAAAACATATATATCTGCAGATGTGCACATCTGTTTTGAATCATGGGTCAGTGGAAAGAAACATGCAACGTTTCCCACAAACAATTGTTGTCAGTGAGTGATTTAAGCACAGCAATCAGCGATCATCCGAACGTGTTTCATCACTATCCAAACAAGATATTTAGCATCACATATAATTACTTACAGACAGATATCTTGTGTTTTCGATTTTACAGTCTGGAGTAGCAGCAATCAAGTTCACCTGGAGCTAAATTTAGTCTGAGTCTATTCCGTAAGTTATGAAAAATCTATGAATGTAAGTGGAGCAGCTTTGGTTGGAGTCCCAACAACCAGAGAGTGACTGAGTGTATAATTGAAATGTTTTAATGAACGTAAAGTTAACAAACCTTACAATACATTAAAACAGATTTTGGTTTCTGCTGAGACATTTAGATGATGACAGATCTATCAATTTCTGTGGGACCAATTGACCAATTGACCCTGGAGTCTAACATAAATCAGACATCCTACATTAACACCGTATCACTAAACCTTTAAGAAAGAGGAAAGGAACACACATAACATAAAAGACGACAAGAAGAGACCCACAGCAGACATCAAATCTTGTTGGATCACTTTAATTCAGCAAAGAAACGGAATCCATCCTGCTGTTCCTGTGAACATCAAAATGAACTTTGCTTTCTTTCTGCTGCTTTAGCTAATGGCAACTCATGTTCGTGTCTGTGTGAGCATTACACAAATAATGTACTGCAATGCTGTAGTACTTGATAAGTGCCATGGAGCCTGTACAAATAAATTAAAATGATCACTACATTCAAAAACGCACACACAGTCAGATATAATTTACATTAACAGAACTGGATTTAGGAAAGTGTCACATTATTTAATAAATGCACAGGAAGGGTTGGGTGAGGAAGGGGTGGGGGAAGTTGAAGTGGGGTAAAGGATGGGGTGGCGGGTTAGGGGGGTAGAAAGGGGGAGGGGTGGTGTAGGGGTTTCAGGAGCAAGAGGGGTGTGGGTGAGGTAGGTAAAGGGTAGAGGTAGGGGTTTCTAGAGGAAGGATGTCCAGCTGGTGTCTGACCTGTGTCAAAGCAGCAGGTTTCTTTTCCTTCCTGTTGCTTTTTATTTTGCACCCATGTTCTTCTTTTCCTCCCCTCTTTTTCTTTGCCTTCTCCTCTTTTGTATCATTAATTTCTTTCTCCCCACTCCTTTTCATCTCTTTCTCCTCTTTTTCCTTTTCTTTGTTCTCCATTTTTTCTTTCCCCTCTTTCTTCAACTTTTCTTTTTCCTCCATCTTTTCTTTGGCTTCCTGTCTTTTCTTCTCATTTCTCTCCTCTTCCTCCTCTCTAGCAATTCTCTCATACTGCTTGTGCTCCTTTGTGCTGAAAGTGAGATTCTGAAAAGAGAAAAACAGCAAAATGTTTTGCAAAACTTAATTCTGAATCCATCTAACACAAGCTGTTAGAACCCAACAAGTCATGATTCTGAAGCATAGTGATGAGCTGAGCTGTTTACCTGCAGCTGGTTGTTCTTAGACATGAGACTCGCCTCCAGAGCATCACATGTGCTCTTCCACCTCTCTTCACTCTTCTTCAGCTCCTTCTCCATCTGCGTCAGCAGGTCCAGGGTCTCCACATGGGCTCTTGTTCTAGCCTGCCTTTTTTCGGTGACCCTTTTGAGGAGGTCATCTTTTTGTTTGAGCTCCTCTTGGAGCTGGCTCACTTCCACCTGCCTGTGTTCCAGCAGACCGACCTGCTCCTTCAGGGCTTTGTTTTCTTCCTTGAGAGACTTTATCTCAGTGATGGCAGAGTACAGGGCATCTCTGAGTCCCTGCACAACTGAGTTAGGAGACTGCTCGCAGTGCTGCAGCCGCACTGCAGCCAGACTGTTTGGGCCGTATGATGCAGCACCAAACTGCATTGGCCAAAATCCCTGAAAGACAGATACACACATGTAGCATGTGCACTTATTCACATATATGGATCTACTGTAGTCTAAGGAAGGCACTCCTTGCACCAGAGAGCAAACACTTTAATTCATACATATTCTATTAAAACCTGTTTTATTTCCAAATTACCACTGACATGCTGCAACATTTATTTTTTCAGTTTCACTTGAGTTGTTTGTGGTTGGGTTACAGTATAAAATTAATCTTCCTTCTAGAAAATTATTTAAGCAAGGCAATGCGGATGAAAATGTTCACCAAAAAGTCTTACCTGGTTTCTTGAGTCTGATCTTCTGTCCATGTCAAGATATTGGAATAGCTGAAAAGATAGTCGTGGTACTTCACAGCTCAAGTTCAACTTGAAGTGTATTGTAGTTTCAGAGTTGTAGTACTTTCTGATGTAGACGGTGTAGTCACTGAGGTTGTATTTTGTAATAGTTGAGGGTTTGTTTTCACCAAAGACAGAGAGAAAGTGCTCATTTCAGGTTGTTTAATGTAAATGTAGTGTTCTACAGGAGCAGGTTAGAACTACAGCTCGTTATGATGTCAGCGTTCTACAGTGATGGTGATGATGGAGCATTCTCATCGTGTGTTCTATAGCTTCTCAAAATTCTAGCAATGGGAGCTATGGAGTGAACAAAAGTTTGCTCTTGAAAGCAGAAGGAGACAGTGGAGGTGACAGTATGTTTCCGCCCAAGTCAGTATCATGCATTACTACTTAGACACCTGGGGGCTTATTACAGAAAGTTCCTATCTTAAGTCTTAAGTTAAGATAGGAAGAGTCTAAGATAGGATTTTTCTCAGTTTGGTATTACAGAAGCAAATCCTAATTAACTTTAGGAATCCTATCTTATCTTACTTCATCCTATCTTATCTCAGGTTAGGAAATCCTAAATACTCAATCCAACATCGGTTATCAACTTTTATATCTGTTACCTAGCAACTGATGCCACTTTTCTCATTTCGCCGAGCTAAACAGCTATAATTCACTGTTTTTAGGAATGAAACATATGCTGAAAATGGCCCTGTGATGGACTGGCGACCTGTCCAGGGTGTACCCCGCCTTGCGCCCGATGTCAGCTGGGATTGGCTCCAGCCCCCCCGCGACCCTGTACGCAGGATAAGCGGTTGACGATGGATGGATGGATGGATGGATGGATGGATGGACACTGAAAATGGAGCAGAAACAACAACTATCACTGAACTTCAAGTCAGATGACTTAGAGGTGTTTGTGACCTCCGTCGAGAAATCCAAATCCACATAAAGCTTAACTCGGGAGATTAAAGATAGAGAATGGGCTAAAATAGTAGTCACCGCCGTATATCCGGCATCCAGCGGAGTGTTGATGCTGTCAGAAAGACAATAACTCCATTTACAGTGATACGAAGACACAGGAAACTGTTGTGTCCAAAGAACAGATGAAACCGCTGGTGGCTCTTCCTGTGCTCCCTCACTGACCCCAGCAGAAACTCGTGTTCTTGGGAAAGTTAATAACCCATGGTAAACTTTCTTATGGGAATGAAGGTAAAAAAAATTAAATAATAATAAAGGCTGCTGGCTAACGTCATCATGTTTTTTATGTATTTCTTGAATTTAACGATCTCCTTCTATGAAAGACTTGCATTAGGATCCTTTTGTTACATCAAGCCTTTACATCATGTTACATACTGAGACATTAGGCTATCTAGCGTTACATCGCCTACAGCCTTTCTACTAACTAGTGTTTTGTCATCAATAAAAGTTCCACCAGTTGACATTTTGTTGTTTTTGTGAAAGCAATTAAAGAGCAACCATGTGGATTAAACGAGTTAGCAAACACTACCTGGTGGAAAAGTAAAAGTTAGGACGGCTTAACAGTTATCCTAAAGTTAGGAGAGTTTATTTAAGATTTTGCGAAGTTAGGATGCTTCTGTAATACACTTTTTCTATCCTATCTAAGTTAGGAAAGGAACATTGACTTAGCAACTGTTAATCTGTAATGGCCTTTTTCCTAAATCAGTTCAAAACCCTTATTACCATGGTTACTAAGCAGTTAGGATAGGATCTGCCAGTTAGGAAGTTTCTGTAATACGGCCCCTGGGGCCCATATTGTCAAAAACATACGAGAAATCAGTAAACACAAAACTCTAAAAGGCATAAAGTTCCAAACCACAGTATACTTCACTTAAATGATTGTTCATAGTACTTTGTCCCTTCACTTAAGATCCAAGACAAAGATACTGATAGTTGTCATAGGCAATAGCAGCGTTGGCAAATGGCCATGCAACAACAGTACTTTAATTCAGCAGTCTCCAGTTATTTAGACTGCAGTGTGGTGTCTTTCCTCTGAAGTAGCTCTGTCGCTGTTGCTGAAGTGTTAAACATGAGCATAAAATTTGCTGAAACACAAGCTATTGAAGTCCTGGCGTTTTTCATCATCCTCCCCAGGTGTCGGAAGTATATGATGAAGAGGAGTGGACCCAGCATTGACCCCTGGGGGACACCCTGGGTGACAGTCGCACACTGTGATTTGTGAATATTGAGCCTTTGTGACATGCAAATCCTGTTCAGCTAATTGGACTGTTTCAGTTTCATTGTCTACAGAGGTCCGATATTTTACTGACTCTCTTCACTAGAAGGCAGTGACTGCCATTTAGTATAGATACTGTAGATAGGTAGGTACAGGACTGGACTGATAAGGATCATAGATGGATAGGGAGAAAGAGTCAAAACTACACTTTCCCATTTTACTGGTTTAGTTAGAACGCGGTTCTTGTTTCTGTTAAGATCTTAGTCTACAGGGAAGATTAGCATTTGACTAATAATATAAATAGATTAAAAAAAAGATGAGAATAACTCTGCATCTACAAAAACAGTAGAGTCGTGACTTAACAGAAAGGAGAGAATATGTTTAATCTCACAACTTTTCCATTAACTTACTGCTTTAACCAAAGAGCCAACATTTAAAGTGTCTACTCGTAAATGAGGGAGAAGAGGAGGAGAGATGATCAACAGGCAGATGCAGCGTAAAGAGTAATTTATTGGGCCATCTGAAACAACAGAAGAAGAAAAGTAGCAGGTTCATCAGTTTAAAGTGATGAGCCTCAGCATACTATTAACTTTCAGCTTAAAACTGCATTATATTGACAAGAACATGTTTAAGATGAGGAACATTGTGTATGTTATATAGAACAAATATGTACAGTAAAAAACAGAACTTTGGCCCAGTAATTAGAAAGAAGGTAAACATCAGGAAAGCTCCTAATGTTGCTGTTGGAGAAGCAATACCCTTCATCCACATTTCAGCAACATAACAAGTAACATTTTTTTCTGAATATCATCTAAACAATCTGGGTTTACACAGACTTGTGTTCCCAGTCACAAACAACTTTGATCACTGCTGGACTTTATAATACTGAATCTGCAGGAATATGAACACCACAGTAGGCTAACAAGAGCTGACAAAGAAAGTTTGACAAGAATCAAACATAGTTTTTGCAGAAAACAAACATACCTCCTACACCGTTATGTACAAAGAATTCCAGCATGCAACAGGGTAAACTAGCTGAAGCTAACAATACACTATAGAAGCAAGAAGTGGCCGTGTTATTCAGAGGCCAACTGTTTTGTTTCTGATCTGACAGTCAGGTTTTACCCGCTCATAGCCTGTCCTGAATAACAAAAAAAGAAAAGAGCAATGAGAGAAATACACAAACACATCCAGCCTTAAAGCTCAGGAGGTGGCTGCTCTGTAGATGCTCTGAAACTGGGATCTGGGACACATGACCTATTAAATTGCTTTCCCTTGGAGGATCATTAAAGTTTTATCTTGGCTGTTTGACCACACTGAGAAGGCTGAGCATGGGGTCAATAGATAAAGACAGAAATCTAGTAAATCTTAAGAATTGCTATTATATCAGTTTCCTGTACAAGTAACCTAACTCCACCCCGTGACTTTTCTGAAGTGCCACTATCTCTATTCACACACAGGAAGTGTCACCATCTCACAAAAATGTATAATTCACACATCACGATACTTAATTAACATCAAACGTTTGAATTATCACCTGCTACAGCTCAATGGATGATCAAAAGACAGTTTGAGTTATAATTTATATAGTTAAAGTATTTATAGTTATAATGTTTTGGTGATATTAAGTTTTTTATCATGTCTATGGACATATGAGGCCACATGAGAAAGAGACAGCAACAGAATCAGCACAGGAAGTAACTAGAGAGACAGAATGACAAAAGAAAATGGAGAGACTTGGCCTTCCACTAAGCTCCCTCTCATTCTCCGACTGCATGTTAAATCTCTGAGCTGCATAATGCATGTCTTGACAGTTTAATAAAGTTAAAACGTGTCTGCTGTGGAGCTGCAGATCCAAACCGTTCACTGGCATGGTCAGACATCTATCGGAGCTCCAAGACAGAGGGGAAGAGAAAATTTATCTGTTGGGCTTAATACTAATGTGGCAGTGAAACACTATATATAGCCAATCACCATCTTAAGAGAAAGGGTCAGTAACCCCAATTTCCAACAGAGTGTTCATCTTCCCAACACACATACACACTCATGCAAAACAGTAATGGTAATCACCATTTATTTTGAGCAATGCTATTTATTGCTGCTGTAATGTGAATATTAATTGGGATTACACAGCTTCCTCATTGATATTCCAGTGCTTTCTTCTATGAATCTGCTGCTTAATATAAGAATTATATTAACACAACAGTTTCACTATTTCATTTAACTGCCCCCCTCCCCTTGAATGATTGAAACATGTTTGACTTAATTAAAGATGTATTAAAAGCACATAACCTCCACTGAAAATAAGTACTACTGAATTAATTTGCACCCTGAAGTGGAAAAAGTGAAAACGGTTGAAAGAGTGATTGACATACATACAGCAAACTTCCAAGGTCAAACATTTAAGTAACATTATCAGTGTTTTGACAACAGACGATAAATAAATATGAAAGATACAAAAATTGGTGTTTTGCTTGATTAATCAGCATTTGAAACATGTAGACCCTAACTTTCTGTGGCATATTTTTGAAAGTGACCCTGGATATCATGACAGTTGAGAAATTCTACGGAGGTACTTTACTGGGGTGGCTGTGGCTCAGGAGGTAGAGCGGGTTGGCCGTTAATCGGAAGGTTGGTTCAATCCCTGGCTCCCCGTGGTTGCGTGTCGAAGTGTCCTTGGGCAAGATACTGAACCCCGAATTGCCCCTGGTGGCTATTCCGCCAGTGTATGAGTGAGTGTGAATGTTAGTTTCCGTTTGAGCACTTAGGCTCAGTGTATGAATATGTATGAATGGTGAATGCAGATGTAGTGTAAAAGCGCTTTGAGTGGTCGAAAAGACTAGAAAGGCGCTATACAAATACGGAGCATTTAGCATTTAGGAATCGGTGCCAAAAACATTGAAAATGGAGAGACTAAAAGTCACAAACAAACAACACATAACACAACACATTAAAAATCCGCAAACAAACTCCTC